TTTCACCACCACCACCACCACCATCACCGTACCTCGGTTCCGTACAGAGCCGAAGACTGGAAGCACAAGGTAGCCGACGTGTACGAGCACCATACTGGCAGAGTGGGCGCTGCTGCTCTGGCTGCTGATCGCTGTCTGGACGGAGGGGTCGGGGCGCTGACGCTGTCCTCTACTGCTACTGCTGCTTCTGCTACTGCTGCCTGCCAGACAGATGGCCCATCGCAAATGGTCCCTTCAAATCCCCCCTCTATACATTCAAATGTGCTGCAGCTGCCTCGCACAAAGGGAGGGGGCACTGAGCTCCCCTAAGACAAAGCAGCCTAGCCAATGAGGGCTGGGCTGGGGGGAGGGCAGGCAGGCAAGCTCCCTTCTGTCTGTCTGGGCAGTCATCAATGAAAGGCACAAAGAGGCATGGCCTGTGTCAGGGGCACTCAGCCGGGCACTGGGTGGCATCATGTACTGGGTGCCAGCCTGTAGGGGGGTGGAGTAGTGGGAGCTGCATGAGGCTGACCCAGTTAGCAGCTACTGACATTTGGACAGTATTTATAGAGAGGGCAAAGGAGGCCACCCAGCTGCTGCAGACACTCTTGGGAACACCTGTCAATCACAGGAGTGTTTGTAAGTTGCTGGCTGCCTTGAAATGGTTATTAGGTGTCTGATTTTGCAGCTTTTTATTGACACATTTGTTTTCTTGGTTACAATTTTCCATTTCCTGGTCGAGGCCAGAATTCAGTGGGGGGAATTTATCAAAACTGGAGCAAACAGAATCTGGAGCAGTTGCCCAATGGAACCAATCAGCATCTCTCTTCAGTTTGCTCAGGTCAGATTTGAAAATGAAAGATAGAAGCTGATTGGCTGCAGATTTTGTCTGCTCCAGTTTTGATACACCCCCCCTAGTGTCTTTTAATCTAGGGATATGTATAAAAAATGTGCATCAGTTTTTTAGTACGTTAACAGGCGTGTTGCTATCCCAATATATGATCTGTTAATGTCCAATAGAGCTTTACAAGAATCTAATGCAGCTTGAGTGAAATCCCCTTAGGGCCCATTTCACACGTTCCCATTTTGCTGCATGAAAATGCATTAGAAGTAGAAATCCCGTTCTTTCCAATGTGGCTGGTTCACATCTATGGCCTGCAACTTAGTGTGGAAGAGAAACGGAAAGTATATGGGTCCATTCACACCTACACATGTGTTGCCATGCACACTGCATGCATATGCAACAGTGAATCCAATCTCATATGCGTTTAGGGCCAGACAGTGGATTCTTGTGGCTGGAGTGTGACCACTCAGCCTATATCTTCATCTTGAGTATTGCAACTCCCTCCTTATTGGCCGACTTCTACACAGGATATACCCCCTTTAGTTTATCTTGAATGCTGCTACTAGACTCATCCATCTTGCCAACCGCTTGGTGTTTGCAAGCCCTCTCTGCCAATCCCTCCCCTGCTTCCATCCTCCACCCCTCTCTTCCAATCCCTCCCCTGCTTCCATCCTCCACCCCTCTCTTCCAATCCCTCCCCTGCTTCCATCCTCCACCCCTCTCTTCCAATCCCTCCCCTGCTTCCATCCTCCACCCCTCTCTTCCAATCCCTCCCCTGCTTCCATCCTCCACCCCTCTCTTCCAATCCCTCCCCTGCTTCCATCCTCCACCCCTCTCTTCCAATCCCTCCCCTGCTTCCATCCTCCACCCCTCTCTTCCAATCCCTCCCCTGCTTCCATCCTCCACCCCTCTCTTCCAATCCCTCCCCTGCTTCCATCCTCCACCCCTCTCTTCCAATCCCTCCCCTGCTTCCATCCTCCACCCCTCTCTTCCAATCCCTCCCCTGCTTCCATCCTCCACCCCTCTCTTCCAATCCCTCCCCTGCTTCCATCCTCCACCCCTCTCTTCCAATCCCTCCCCTGCTTCCATCCTCCACCCCTCTCTTCCAATCCCTCCCCTGCTTCCATCCTCCACCCCTCTCTTCCAATCCCTCCCCTGCTTCCATCCTCCACCCCTCTCTTCCAATCCCTCCCCTGCTTCCATCCTCCACCCCTCTCTTCCAATCCCTCCCCTGCTTCCATCCTCCACCCCTCTCTTCCAATCCCTCCCCTGCTTCCATCCTCCACCCCTCTCTTCCAATCCCTCCCCTGCTTCCATCCTCCACCCCTCTCTTCCAATCCCTCCCCTGCTTCCATCCTCCACCCCTCTCTTCCAATCCCTCCCCTGCTTCCATCCTCCACCCCTCTCTTCCAATCCCTCCCCTGCTTCCATCCTCCACCCCTCTCTTCCAATCCCTCCCCTGCTTCCATCCTCCACCCCTCTCTTCCAATCCCTCCCCTGCTTCCATCCTCCACCCCTCTCTTCCAATCCCTCCCCTGCTTCCATCCTCCACCCCTCTCTTCCAATCCCTCCCCTGCTTCCATCCTCCACCCCTCTCTTCCAATCCCTCCCCTGCTTCCATCCTCCACCCCTCTCTTCCAATCCCTCCCCTGCTTCCATCCTCCACCCCTCTCTTCCAATCCCTCCCCTGCTTCCATCCTCCACCCCTCTCTTCCAATCCCTCCCCTGCTTCCATCCTCCACCCCTCTCTTCCAATCCCTCCCCTGCTTCCATCCTCCACCCCTCTCTTCCAATCCCTCCCCTGCTTCCATCCTCCACCCCTCTCTTCCAATCCCTCCCCTGCTTCCATCCTCCACCCCTCTCTTCCAATCCCTCCCCTGCTTCCATCCTCCACCCCTCTCTTCCAATCCCTCCCCTGCTTCCATCCTCCACCCCTCTCTTCCAATCCCTCCCCTGCTTCCATCCTCCACCCCTCTCTTCCAATCCCTCCCCTGCTTCCATCCTCCACCCCTCTCTTCCAATCCCTCCCCTGCTTCCATCCTCCACCCCTCTCTTCCAATCCCTCCCCTGCTTCCATCCTCCACCCCTCTCTTCCAATCCCTCCCCTGCTTCCATCCTCCACCCCTCTCTTCCAATCCCTCCCCTGCTTCCATCCTCCAATCCCTCCACTGCTTCCATTCTCCACCCCTCTCTTCCAATCCCTCCCCTGCTTCCATCCCCTACCCCTCTCTGCCAATCCCTCCTAATGCATCCCTCTATGTATGATGATTAATAATAACATAAACATGTCAGGTGTAAAATGCTGTGATTATGAAATACTTACACATGCAGAGCTTTCACTTCCTGCTTTGAAAGGGCAAAATGAATAAGTACACGTTTTCTTTAACTCTGTAATTTTGTCAGGAGGCTCCCAAAACCACTTCAACACTCAGACTCAATCCATTGGGCCAAAAAACATTCTTGCTGACACCAGGCCCCTCTCATTGCATCTATTTGCTGTATAAACTGCTCCTAGCAGTAGCTCCTCAATCACTCCCACACCCCCACCCCCAATCCCCAGCTTACCCCCAGCCTATCTGACCCCCAGGGAGTAGAAATTGTCTTTACCCTTTCTGATAAACACTAGTCCAAAATCCTTCTTCTATCTCATACTTCCTCTATCAATAACAATATACAGTATCATAGAGTAAGTAAAGCCTTGCTCAGTGGTATAGGGACCCAGTGCGCTTAAGTTGGTGAGACAAACAGGAGATGTAGACTGGCACCTGGCTCCCTCTCCCACACTTGGTGGCTGTTCCCACATATTGAAACTCAAGAGAGAAACTCATAGCGAAAATTACCCCCACCAAGACCAACCAAGGTCCTCTTGTTTCATTACACAACTAATGTATAATAAATCACTGATACCATACTGAATGAGGCCAAGAGCCTGATCCCCAAATACCGGAGAACACCAAGATCACCATTCACCAACAGTGGCAGAATGAATAGTACAAGCTGATAAGATACATTTGGAGGAAAAGAGGACCATTCCCAAAAGGGCTGACTATGACTATTACAAAACATGGGGGAGCTGGTTACATTTCAAAAACTACAACCTCTGCAAGACTTTTCTGGAGAAAATCCCAGATCTTATTTTACAGTAGAACATTTTATATTATTATTTAATAAGTGTAGACATGAGAAGACCCAGAGCTTGTCTCTCCTACTCAACGCCCTAAAGAGCCTCATACCACCCTAACTCCCTCAGTCTTTCAGCTCTCCTACTTCCCCTGGAGCCACACAGGGCACCATGGTTAAATGCACCCCACAGAGTCCGTCTGACACCCACCCCCCAGCCTCCCAGCTTCCCTCCTTCATCCCATTCACAAAGCAGTCCTCCTCACACTGTACCATCGATGTAGCTGCATTTTTGTTTCTCCCACGAACACTGACACGGGGCATTTTTTCCTTTTAGTAACACCGCTAATGCATGAGCGTTTTTGTACTTCCAGTGACACCACTGACACATTGACATCTTCTCCTCACAGCGATGTCGAGGCACTGGTTAAATACAGATTAAGGCCCCGTTCACACTGAGCGATTTATCGCGCGATT